TTTTTTTTTTTTTTAATATAAATTGTTGTTTGTTATTTCTTTACTTTTTATATCCCCCCCCCTTTTTTTTTCTTATGTCTATAATTTTTCTTTGTTTTATCTTCATTTTGAACTTATCTAATGAGTTCTGTTTACTTGCAGCTTAAGCGCAATAAATGAAACTTATTGTTTTTCTTAACTTTCTTCGTGTTTTCTCGTATTTCTTTGCTTATTATATATATATATATATTCAAAAACAACACACCAACACACCCTTCAAAAATAACACCGGTGGCTGACGCGAACTAAATGGAATGTCCAGTGTCAGCCACCTATTTCCGACGCGGCGCTCGATGTGTTAATAGATAAATATCTAGTCCCATAGATTCGCTATTTCAAAGCCAGCTTAAAACACAAGCGAGCTCTTGGGTAAAGAATTGGAACAATATCGAGATGATGTTTGTAGTTACATTAAGACCCTTTGTCGTTGAATAACGAGAAAATTAAAGGAAATTTTTATGTCAGACAAACTATAAAAATCAGATCAACGCTTAATGCGGCTTTAAAACTAATTGTTGCAGAAGTTTAAAGCTTATTCACAGAAAACAAAAATTAAAATAGCTACTTAAAAACTACTAGAAGAAAATTATGTTTTTCAAATCTAATATATTTGTTATATTTTATTATTAAAATATTTAATTTTATACTATATTTTCCAAAATTACATAGAAGTTATAAAAGCGAGAACATTTCTCTACAAATATTTTATTTATTTATTTTTTAAAGATCTTAAATGTAATTAAAGTAGGATAAATTTCAGCATTGTAATAATATCTCTAATTTTATACCAATACAAAATTATATTTTTTGTAAAAAATTTTTAAGAATTCACAACATAAGAAAGCCTGCATTAAAATAACGTGGATTTATCCTTCCTAAAGAGTCTATTCGAAGTAACTTTATATAAATACTTATATTGAGTTTATTAGAAATCGAGGAACTTCGAGTCACGGTATTAACTACTTGCTAACTACATCAAGCATATTGTTCACAATTTTTTCGTTATTAAAGAATTAAATTTTCAAAATTACTTAGGAGTACTTAAACAAGAATATTTTTCAGCAAGCTATTTATTTACTTTTTGAAGATCTTATTTATTATTAAAATGTCATAAGTTGTAAAAAAAAACATTAATTTCGAGGCAAAAGACTAGTATTTATTTAAAAATTTTAGACAAATTCACAAGATATGCATATCTGAAATAAAAATAACGTGTTTTTATCCTTAACCCTTTCTAAGGCCGTAGTAAGTTTACTAACCACCACTTTTTAATGTCCATGGGAAACTTTTTTACCACTTTTAATTTAGGTTTCTATTTGTCAATAACTTCAGCTTTATTGAAGTGCGTTTGAATAAAATTGTTAACTATTTGATAGTTTAAAAAAAATGCATAACAGTTATAAAATACATAATTCCTTTGGTGGCATGTATAAAATTTATTTTGAAAATAACAAAAAATAAAAGTCAATCAGTTCCTAATAGGTCATGGTATATATACTTACCACCAAGAAAATGACATTAAAATTTAGATTAATTTTTCATAAGCTAAATTAGTTTTCTTTTTTTTGCATATCAATTACTATTCTTATGTCAATTTCAATTCCAGAAATACTTTAATTTACCTTTACTAGAAATAAATGACCCATTAAAGTGTTAAGGAGTTTATTCCGAGTAACTTTATATATTCAAATAGAGCTTTTCAGAGTGAGTTAAGTTCTTCTTCTTGTTCATTTACGTCGCACTAGAGGTGCACAATGGGCTATTGGCGACGGTCTGTGAAACATCCCTGAGGATGATCCAAAGACACGCCATCACAATTTTGATACTCTGCAGAGGGGATGGCACCCCCGCTTCGGTAGCCCGTGGTAGAACAGTTTAACGAGGACCAATACCGCACACCCACGGTCCCTACGCAGGCTAATCCAAGCGGTAACCCGCCGCACATTGACCGTAGCCAGTGATGCTTGACTTCGGTGATCTGCTGGGAACCGTGTCTTAATGATCAGTCCACTGCGGGACTTTACAAATTTAGGGGAACTACGAATCACAACCAGAAATACTTAAGAAACATTCTACTTTTTCAAACCTATATTAAATGTTATTCTGTATTATTAAAAAGCTAAACTTTCAAAACTACGTTAGGATGAAAACGAGAATATTTTTTCAAAAATATCTTTATTTATTTATTTATTAAAGTTATTTAATGTTAATAAAATGTGAGAAGCTTTAGCACTCTACAAATAACTTTAATTTTTTATTAAAAAAAATAATATTCATTGTAAGTAGTTTCAAAAAATTCGCAATATATGTAAATCGGAAATAAAAATAAAGTGATTTTATACGCCTTAAAGAGTCTATTCCAAGTAACTTTATATATTTAAATAGAGTTTATCAGAAATAAGGGAACTTCGAGTCACGTCTTGAAAGGAAATGACTGAGAATATGCAGACAGAATACTTTAAGAAGAAAAGATACTAACAGTAGAAACTTGGCGGATGCAGTTCATAAGCATGCCAGGCAAATCCTGCGAATTCAGCCGATTGGTCAATCGCCCTCATCTGACTTAGTATTCAAAAAGGTTTTTTGCCATTTTAGAAAGAAAAAAAATCTTTACAGGACGCTTGTATTCACACTGAATGTAAAATTGACCTTTCCATTATGCTAAAATCTAGTGATTACTTATTTATCTGAATTTAAACTTAGAAGTAAAAAAAAGAAGAAAAAAAGCATTTGAAAAAGAGTGACGAAATAAAAAATAAGGACAAATAAATATCGTTGAAATTTGTTTACGCCTTAAGTGTTTTGAAAAATGCTTTTTATTTCTATTTATTTTTAAATTAAGGCATATATTTTTACATCTTATTCCAATACACATTATGATTAATATCTTTAAAATACACTCATGATAATGTTTAATTACTTGTAAGGAATGGTATAGTAGTAAAACAATTTTGCTTGCATATTACGTTTCAGTTTATTATTAGTTTCGTATTTTTATTTTTTATAAAGCATATTATTAAACATAGTATGTAACTAAACAACTGAGCTAGGGCTGAGTTCATGACTCTAACAGTGTTCAATTCCATAGCCTTTTAATGTTGAACCCATTTCAAAAGACAAGGTAATTCTTAGATCAAGTATTTGGATAAACTAGTCTTCGGGGAGGAGTTTTTGATGGAACGAACACGCATTTGCGTTACATGGCGAGAAAAAACACGGAAATCTGATTTCTAACCCATGATCTACCATTGAGGATACCGCTCTGTGGTCGGTGAGATCCGGGGTCAGAATTCGTATCAATCAGCCACCGCAGGGACTCGAACCTGAGTACCACATAGGGAGGTGAACACTCCATCCCCTGTGTCTCCGTGGCTGTTTATTATAAGTTTCATGTTATTCATCTTAGAAATTAAAAATAATAGCTTAAACCTTTGAGCTATTTTCTTAGGTATACAATTATAAGAATTTGTATAGCACGATTTTAAAATAATTTTTACAACTAGTTAAACTGCTTGAGGAACATAAATGTTTGCATTTCTCCGAAATGACCTTTAATTGTTCAATCGATATAGTCTAAAAAAAATTATCCTTTTGAAAAACTAAATCATCGGAAAAAAAAAAACAGTTTTAGTGGCTAACGGATTCTGATGATTGAACTAACGAATCAAACGATAGGAGGGAAGCAGATATTAGTAATAGCACCGATTGAGTTGGAAGGACTAAACTTAAAGAGACAGCATATCCCTCTAAAAGGCTGTAAAATGAAGATGAACAGAAATTTGCATTTAAAATTTGTATTAAAATTTCCAAAGTGGATTGAAACCATGAGTTACTTATTACCACAAAAAATATTAATAGTTTTCATAGTAAAAAAAATATTGTGAAAGTATTTGTCCTGATAATTTAGTAGAAATATGCTTAACCCTTTGATACAGAATATTTTTAAACATAATTTTCCTACTTTTCTTAAAATTAATTTAGGTCAAAATGAATAAAACAAAAATTATTATACCAAGTATTTTAATAATTTATGGTTATGAAATACCAGTTTCTTTCTCTGCATTAAAAGTAAATTCTTCCAAACACGGCTCACTCCGGATTTATAATTTTTCAAATTTGCACATTTTTGGAGTTATTTGGAATTGAGAGAAACCATAATTCGTCTCTGAATTTTTTTTAATTTGCAAAATCAATTATAAATCAATTTTTGAATATAAATGAAAGTATTTTTTTACAAACCAATTTTGTTGATATTTCATACCCTCCAACTTATGAAGATTTTGAAAATAATTCTTTCTAGTGGTAGCGAACCAAAGTAGAAATTTTTAAAGAAAATGGATCTCTCATAAAACTTTTTTCAGAACTTAAGAATCTAGCCATATGACCTGCACTTTTATAAGTAATAGTGGAAAAGTTACGCTAAAATTAATTTTTTTTAAATATTAAGACATTAATTTTGCTACCGTCGGAAAAGAAGATTTCTGAAACTACGGAAATTCCGTAGCAGTTGGAGGGTAGGATATTTTATATTTTTGTACAAATATAATTACGATAATCAAACAGAGGTTTTTAGTAACTAATAGACTGTATTTTATAATTAAATGACACCAAAATATATTTCTGCTTGTAAATAGAGCATCAGGAAAACAATGCATAAGTGGGACACTTCAGTCAGATCTGCGTCAAAGGGTTAAGCAATTGAGTGGAAGCCAGAAGTTAAAAAAGAAGTGAAGCTAAGTGGAGCAATAGTACTGGATATAGTGAAGTCAATGCTGGATACTGGTATACTGGTACATGGTTGGTTAATATTGCCCTTAAACAGGTTGTAAGATGAAGAAGAACAGAAGTTTGCAACTAAACTTCGTAATAAAAGTTTAACAGAAGATTGGATCATACACACGTTGAGCACCGCGTCAGTCATCGGTGGCTGACACTGGACTTTCCATTTAGGCAGCGTCAAATATCGGTGGCTGACACTAAAATTATATTTAGGCAGCGTCAACCACCGGTGGCTGACACTGAAATTACATTTAGGCTGCGGCTTCCACCGCTTGCTGACACAGACCTTTCACATAGGCCATGAAAAACAGCTAACTGACAGAGTATAGCATGATATAGAACTATAAAATTCACACTATTTTATGTAATTGCAGAAAATGTAGTCAACATTTCCCTAAAGAAGTTATTTTATCGACAAAGAGTTCTGTTATAGATTGGGGGTGCCATACACAAAGATGCCAACTTGCTCCGGGCAACAGATATATATTTTAAAGTGGTAGTTTATCATTTGTGATTCTTGGTTTAATAAATTCAATTTGGTAGATTTTTATCCACCACTGTTTCTAAATAATTCGTAGGCTTATATAATCCACCACTTTAAAGAACTTAGTTCATGCTATACCGTTTAAAAAGCAAGGAAAATAGTCACATATTTGCAAATTTTACTTTGTTCTTTTTTACCGTTTTTTGTAATTATTTTGGCGTGTCCGGAGCAGTTGGCATCTCTGCATACATATTCAGAGATACCATCTTGCTCCGGACAGCTAATATATATTTTAAAGTGGTAGTTTATCAATTGTGATTCTTAGTTTAATGAATTCAATATAGTAAATTTTTTATATACCACTATTTCTACATAATTCGTAGGCTTATATAATTGAGCACTTTTGTCAAATATGTCATGATGAACCATCTAAAAAAATAGCAAAATCCCCTAAATATTTGCAAATTTAGTTCGTAGTTATTTACCGTGGGCGGATGGGCAAGCCATGTAAAAGTAGAGTGGCATTCAACGTGTTAAATAATTTATTGCCTTTGAAAATATAAATAGTATTCATAATAAAATGTTCTCTAGTGATACTGTTTTTCCTTATAATCTATCAGAAAAAAGCTTAATATAATATCATACCTCCCAACTTTTAATCCCTTCCATTATCATTTTTCACAGTGGTACTAAAATGAAATTAAAACTTCAATTTTAAGCAAACAAATTCGTTGTATTTGAGCAAACTTAAGTTGACAACCATGATAGTGTGGTGATAGGTTCGACGCTCATCGTAAAATCAAGTTTATTTCATATTGTTATCTGTTTGTCTTTAATCAATTGTGTTTTTACTTATTTTTGAAGTGAACTGAAATAAGAGTTCTGACGTCATCATATTAGAATTGTATAAATACCAGCACGCACATGACAGCCTGTCAGTATTTCTCTCATCACCTGCTGTGATGATGCTTCTTGTAAATCAAACCAACTTGTATATAAATGTAAATATNTGATGCATACTTTGCTACCACTTTAAATATGAAAATAAAATCTTCCGGAAAATCCGGAAGAGTTGGCAGGTATGTAATATTGCAAAATCCTTGCCATGCTAAAATTTACAATATTTGTATTTCTTTATAGGAAGCCGATATTGCCATAGCCCCGTTGACTATCACGTCAGCCAGGGAAAGGGTTATTGACTTCACGAAGCCGTTCATGTCTCTTGGAATCAGCATCATGATCAAGAAGCCTATGAAAAAGAAACCTGGAGTCTTTTCCTTCATGAACCCTCTGTCCGAAGAAATTTGGATGTGCATTATTTTTGCTTATGTTGGAGTCTCTGTAGTTCTCTTCCTAGTGAGTCGATTTTCACCACAAGAGTGGAGATATGAAGAACACTTTATGGGGGCTAATACTTCAAATGACTTCTCTCTTTACAATAGCTTGTGGTTCTCTCTAGGAGCCTTTATGCAACAAGGCTGTGATATTTGTCCAAGGTAGGTGGTTTTTAATTTTACTACAGAAGTAACATAGCCTACGTCGATTAGATAGTTTAGTCAATGCTCCTTAAGTCCAAAGTAAAATCAAATCAGTAGCGAGTCAAGTCAAACCTCAAGTAGCAATTTACGATGTAGGTGGGAACAAGATACAGGAGAATGCCGATTAACTGGACTCTGAAATAAGGCTGATACGGATGGAAAATGTGGATAATTGGGTAGTTTAAAAAAACGGCTATAAGAATGTTTTTAAGTGGCTACCCTTTTTACTTTTTTAGGCTTAGGATTGGCCATTGTAGGTTCATATTACAAATGGCGTTTTGAAAAGTTTATTAGAAACATGTTCCCATATACGAAACTACTAACCTACCGCATGGAAACTGGGCCGGACAAACGTGAGGCACTTTTCAAGATCCCAAAGTGATAAAGTAAACCATTTTACAGATGTTTTAAAAATTAAGAGGCATTTTTGCCAAAAACAAAATTTTTTTTTTGAAGAAGGTGGAAAAAACACGTGGTCCCTTGATGATCCAGATAATTGGGTAATCGGTAAATCGGCTTTCGGGTAATCTGCGCTCTACTGTATGTAGATAACTTTGCACTTAAAGATAGTTTCATGGATAAACTGCGAAACTTTATCTTTTTTACTGAAAAAGTAATAATGGCTGAATCTGGAACCTGGATCTGGGGATAGAGCGTTCGCTTCCAATGAGGGGAACCATCAGTCTAACTTGCCATCAGTCTAAACGTGGGCAGTTTTCATGGTTTTCCTCTCCATGTAACTCAAATGCGGGTTGGTTCCATCAAAAAGTCCCCCACGAAGGCAAATTTCTCCCGATATTTGATCTAGGAGTTCCCTTGTCTTCTGGATAAGGTTCAAAACTACAATGGAGTTGAAATTAGTAGCTTTAAACCCAAAATTTGGTCAGCTGTTCAACGACGGTTGCAAAATAAAAATAGAATGGCTGCATCTAATCGACATAGGCTGCGTTAACAATATTTACTGAGTAATAACAGAACCGAATTTTTACGGAAATTTATTATATTTTTCATTTACTACTTTTACCAAAAAATAGTTTATTAATTGAAATGGTGCATATCTTGAAAATTTTAATTTAAAGATATCAGATGTATCTAATCGACATAGGCTAATTGAAAAAGCAAAGGATTCCATTAGTAGAGAAGTATCCTAAATATTTTCCTTTTTTCTTCTATTCAAATTTTCAGTAAATGTTTTTTTTTATAGAAAGTTTCACTAAACAACTGTAAGATTATATAANGACAGTTTTATGGCTATACTGAATAATGACTGAATCTGGAGCCGTGGTGGATAGAGCGTTCGCCTTCCAATGAGATGAACCGGCTTTGAATACCAGCAATTGCTGGTCGATATGAATCTTACACCCAGCTCACAACGACTAAAGTGCTGACGTAAAAATATCCTCAGAGGCAGACGGATCAAGAGCTATAGTGTCCTTGCCATCAGATTAAACGTGAGAAGTTTTCATGGTTTTTTCTCTCCATGTAACTCAAATGCGGGTTAGTTCCATCAAAAAATCCTCTACGAAGCCAAATATCTTCCGATATTTGATCCAGGAGTTCCCTTTTCTTCTCGATAGGGTTCAAAACTGCAATGGAGTTGAACATTAGTAGCTGTAAACCCAAAATTTGGTCAGCTGTTCAACGACGGTTGTAAAGTAAAAATAGAATGGCTGAATCTAATCGACATAGGCTGCGTTAACAATATTTACTAAGTAATAACAGAACCGAAATTTCATGGAAATTTATTATATTTTTTATTTACTATTTTTACCAAAAAATGGTTTATTAATTGAAATGGTGCATATCTTGAAAATTTTAATTTAAAGATATCAGATGTATCTAATCGACATAGGCTAATTGAGAAAGCAAAGGATTCCATTAGTAGAGAAGTATCCTATATATTTTCCTTTTTTCTTCTATTCAAATTTTCAGTAAATGTTTTTTTTTATAGAAAGTTTCACTAAACAACTGTAAGATTATATAAACTAAAAATGCATGACCTCGATAAGGTCATGCATTTACGTATAAGTGTGTTTAAAATTTAACTGTATGTTACACTTAAGTGTTTTTAATTGCATTTATTGCATTTGATTTATTGAAGGATTAGCTTATATTCTGAGGCATTTTTATTGAAATAGTTTCTAAGTTGAAAATGATCAAATTAAATTGATCTTTTTTTTCAACTCCTCTCTGAAAAAATAAAACTTATTTGGTATTAAACATTAAGTATTTCCGTCAATTTTTATAAATAACGATGGATTTAATAACATTAGATAAGTTTCAAGAAATTTTTTACCACTCACCTATTCACATGAGCCTGGTGTTGACAAAAGCTCATTTATTCTTTAAAAAAAAATAATGTTAAAAGAAATAAATCTGAATTAACCTATGTATTATTCAAAATAAGGATTAATAAGCCTTTTTGGAAAATATTAAAACACTAGTCCCCCTCTCAAACAGTGCCGCTGTAACAGCAAAATAAAAATGGGATACAAATCTTTTAAAGAAAGATGCCTCTAGAGAGATCTGTTTGATGAAAAAAATTCTTATGCCTGCGTCTCTTATAATTGCGTCTGTTTTAACGAATATTTCAAAGATTGCGAAAATAATTACTAAGCTGGAAAAAAAAGATGCATCTAAGCTAGTTTTTAAAATTCAAATTAAAATCCATTGTTATTTGAAAACTCTATGAAGAATTATTTGATAAATCTAAGACATTCTGTTACTAAGGTATGAAAACTACAGCTATGACAATAATCGGCTGAGATGTTAAAAAAAAGGGTCATTGAAATGAGTTTTGTCGACAGTGTAGCATAATCTGTTTTTTCTACCAATAAAATAAGAAAAGATATCTTAGTGTACACCAACTTCAGATTTTCAAAATTATATTTTACCGTTATACAGAAGTTTTGATATAATACTTATAGTAGTTTTTATCCAAAATAAGGATTAAATATAATTTATTCTGTCCTAAGTCAGTATTTTGATACACATAACTGAAGTCTTTTAAATATTTAAAATATAATGAATATCTTCAACTATTAAAGCATATTTAAAAAAAAATATATTAATAAGTGCGAGTTATCTTTTGTAAATACATGGATACACTTTTTATGAAAATGAAAGAAGAGATGTTTAAAAAATTACGTTAGGCAACCATTTTTACTTATTTTGAATTAAGCGAGAAATTGTTTACCCCAAAGATCAGAAGTTTTGGAGCAAAATACTTAATTTTGAAATAAATATTCTAATGAATAGATAGAGGGTCATGAATTTGAGATGTGCACTATCCCTTAAAAGTATATTCTCATATCTGTAAAATTTATTTAAATTCAGGCATCTCGGTAACGTTAATTCCAAATCCAGTGTGTCATTCGAATATTAAAAATTAATAGTAGCAATATATTATATCATGTTTAGACGTTTGGGGGGATTTGACTGTATATTCCAACAAAATAATGATATATTTCAAGCATGGTATTCTGCAAAACAGAGATGTTTTCCCCATCGTATAAACTTTTATGTTGATAATGTAAAAAATATGTTCTCAATGCAATCATAATATTTAAAACAGTTAAAAAGGAATGGCTTACATAGAAGAAAATAATACTGTAGAAAATTTGAGGCAATTACAAAAAAATTAAAAAAGATTTGCTCTCAAAATAGTTAAAAATTCAATTGCGCTCTAAGACATTATAACCATTACCAGACAAAATAAAATTTTGATAAATAAAGTTATTAAGCCCTTACTGAAAATCGTAAATATACCACCGAAATGTATACATATATATTTATATAACCAAGCAGAAATAAAACAATGTTTTGAGTTTATCGTTTGTAAACAGTAATAAAATCATTCCTGCAAAGTTTAAATCAATTGGATCAATTTGAAATAAGTGGTAATAAAACTATAACTGGACTGTAAATATAAGCAAACTTTTGCTGGCAATAAACCAATCATAAAAAATGTACTTAACTCAAGCAGAAAATGCTGTTTGCAAAAAGAGAAATTGAAGAATAATTTTTAGAAGAAAATTGCATTTTTTTAACAAGATATTTTCAAGTAAGATTAAAAGCTTAAATGATTTTTTTCCTAAAACTCCAACTAAAAAAATTAAAGCCTAATCACATTGGATTTTCTTATTTATATTTTTAAATTATTCAATCAATTCAGATTACTTCCCCGAAAATTGGATGAAGAACTTTCTTAGCTAATTTTAAGCAGCTTATTGTCTTAAAAGTTTTTGAAGCATCAAACTCAGACGCTTGTTTTGACGCTCAATTTTTCTTGCTACAAAAATGAGAAATATTTTTTTTCCTTATATTAACGAAAAATGTAAATAAACTTTTATAAGTAAAAAAATTATAAGAAAATCTCACAAGTTTAAACGAACAAATATATTCCTATCGTATTTTTTTATATTGCATATTTGAAGATTTAGCCTAAAGCAATATTAGGTGTTGTCAGACCACAAAAATAGAATTTTAAACCTCAGATTTATATTTTTAATTATAAATGTTTGGAAAGAAAATGACTTTAAACAATGGCAAATTCTTGAAAAAATAATTAGTGTTTTAATAAATCCACTGCAACTGAAACTGTAAGTAACAAAGTTTTTCATTATTTTATTAAGATTTAAAGAACTGNTTTTTAATGATATTAGAACTTTAAAATAATGATATTAATTAATTCACTTACTGATTCATGAATATGCGTTATAATTATTTTAGTGAATGTTTACTACATTCTCTGCTTTCTTTAAAAAATCATTGACATTTTATTTTTTAAATATGTAATAAATATTTTAATTTTAAATTTTTTTAGTTCTTTTTAAATTAAAGCCTTAATTTTAACAAAATAATATTTTTTCAAAATTATTTTCCGAATCTTGATTATAATTTTACCTGTGGGAACTCAGGCATGTTTTAGCAATGGTATTTATATTGGGTTATTGTATGTACCAGAATTTTGCAATATGATTATGAAGTATGCTTGAAATTTATTGTTTCTATGTATACAGCAAAATATATATTCTTTCTATGTTTTGTGTAATTTTTATATGCTTCGAATGTTTATTCTTTGCAAAGTTAAAATTATAACATTACAAAAATCATTTCTTTCTTCAAGAATTCATAATGAATAATATCTGTTTTTAAATTGATTCCAGTTTTTAATATTCAGCATAGAGCTGAAATTTATTTATACGTTGAGCGCCAAGTTAAATATGAAAACAGTGTCATAGGCCATGGTATATAGTCGAAATGGAGTTTATGCACTAAGATTGCTATTGAATACCAATAAAGAAAGAAATCCCTTGTGTCTAAGCATAATTGCTTTTTTTTAAATGGCACTCAGCAATATAAATGATATGAAAATAAATAATAAACTCATAGCTCATCATTGATTTATTGACTATTAGTAGCGTATGAATTTTTTTATAAGCAATGATTTTATCATGATTTTTTCTGTAAAATGTAATAATTCATACTCCTAAAATTAAGATGCTATAAGATGCTTTTGCTATAAGATTTATATACTCATTTAATTTTATGATTGAAATACTTGTTAAATTCTATGATTTAAATACTCATTTATTCATTTGCAGCTATCAATGCTGTTTATATATACTATGATTAAGTGATTTCAGAAATACTCCTTTAAATACTTAGTTTATTTATTTGCAGCTAACGTGATCAGAAGTTAATCCTTTTGTAAAAGTTTAAAGTGTTTGCACATTATTGTAGCTCTTAATTTATGTGGAAATTTTATTTATGTTATTTATTTTTATATTGAGATAAAAATTTATAATCTTCTAGTTAAGAAGTATATTTGTTTTTATGAATTATGTAAAAAAAAAGAAAGAAAATATATTACTATCAATTATTGTACATAATATAAATATATATATATATACATAGACATAATTTAGAATTTCTGCGTCAATCCGAATTATTCATTTTTGAAAAACTCTAATTTTGCTGAAATTACCACCTTAGATCTCTTTAGGAAAAGAAAAAAATTAATTTTCGAAACATATTTCAAACAAATTAGGTTAAAATATTATTTCTAAGTAATATTTCGAAGTAACTGAAAATTAATGTCTTGATATAACTTAGATTTATAAAATTTTGATCTTGTTCAACTTTTATTTTTATTTCTCAAGTCCTGATTTGTATCAACTGACTGTAAGACAGTCAATGTTGATTAAAAATTTAAATCGCCTTACCTCGTTTAGATTGTTTTATTGACTCACGGAGTGTGATTCTATGTACTTCAGATTTCGGTGCTCTGTTGGACCTTTACACTTTTTGTTATTATCTAGGCATAAAATATTGTTAAGGAATTAATACAAAAATATGTGGGAATATTAATAAAATTTATTTTAGAAATGAAAAAATGATAGTTATTTTCAAATTCTTTTTTCAACACCTAATGGACCGTGGTAAACATACTTCCCATTAAAAAACATTCGCATTTAAATTAAATCCCTCATTAAAATTACGTCATTAAAATTTAAATTAATTTCCTCTAATAAGCTAAAGAGCTTTTTTTCCTTCATCAATTTCAACTTGAAAAATATTTTAAAATACCATAATTATAAATTCAAAAAAATAAAAGATTAAATTAATCCCATTAAAGGATTTAAGGGATTAAAATAATACTGGATTCAGACAATATTCTGCATATTGACGACGAATTTCAATAATGGACTCACGTAAAAAATTATTCCTTTATAAAAGCTGTGATATGTTTACATTTAAACTAAATGAACATTATCTTCCCCTTTAACACGTTCACGCCGGGTGTTGCGCCCGAAAGAGTGACGGAAAAGAGAAAATACTGGTAGAAGAACTATTTCAATATTAGATAATATTCGGGAGGAGTTAATTTATTCTCAACAATAACAATTCACTTTATGGAAATTTATCACCGCGAAGAAGCAATTCAATGTAAAAATTGTATCCGTTAAAAACAATTGGTAGTTATGGATTTTTATTATTCCCGGAAAAAGAACTAAAAAATGAAATTTATTTGCTACCAGCTTTTACTCCGGTGCGCCGCCCGATGAGACAATCTAGCGTGACCCACCGGTGGGTCACCCCGGCGTGAACGTGTTAAACTAACAAAAAAGAATGTGCACATAGTATCTTAAATGTATATATGTTTTAACTACAAATATTTTAAGATGAATACAAATTATTTCTTTAAGCGAAATAAATGTGAATAATGAAAGGATGTTAATTTCACTATTAAACTTTTTTTTAATAACAATATCAATAATTACCTATTAAAGCCTTAATTTTTTAATTACAATGATATAGAAACTGATATATCATAGGAATGATAGTGTAATAATGTGTGTATTAAGCAATCATACATTATGTAAGCTACCTCTTCTTAATCGGTTAACGCCCAGCGTCATATATTTAGGACAGTTCCTTTTTTCCAAGACATTCAATGTGATAGGAAACTTTTTTCAGAATTTTCATTTATTTGCGTGAATTAAAAGGTTCTCAGATACCAAAATGATTTAGTTATTTCTGACTAGATCTAGAATTAAAAGGAGCAAGTACTTTTTGATCTATCAAAGACTTTTTGAATGCCCTTACAGTAGAAAAACCAATTAATTTCGATAATATATTATACCACCTTTTCCATAATGTCACTTCTTGTATCATTTCAATATATGAAGTCGGGACAAAACGGGTTAAGCAATTATGTCTAATGTAGTAAGTAATTATGTAATATGGAGTAAATATATGTTATAATAAGTAATTTCGTATTATGTTAGCTACTGCTTTGCCGGCAATGCATATGCTGGTATGAATGCAAATTTCAAAGTATGGCCCAGTCAAGTAGAAGAACATATAGCATAAAGTATAGAAAGATTTCGCTAAGATATAGCCAAGGTAAAGGAGGGATTCGATCCCGCAACCTCCAAACTACAAAGCGTTTGGTGGGTAAGATCAAAAGGCCAGGGAGGCCATCATCTCCTACATCAGAAAGCCTCCACACCGTTTTTTATAAGCAGTCTGCATAGATTTTTTAAAAAGTGAACCAGTGGTTCGCACGAAACCAAATTCTATTTTAAAATTAATCGAGAGAAAAATGGTATATATATTTGAGAATTGAATCTTTGGTGGTAGACAAGTAAACAAGACAAACCAATTACAGAGATGCCATTTTTCTCCGCTTTGCGAAATAGTATTTTCTATCGGTAACGAAATTTAAGATATTTTTAGTTTAGTATTTTTAATTTTAATTAATTTTTCTACTGCTAAATATTAAAAATTATAAGAATCATATTACATGCAATCTAAAAGCATTATTTATTTGGTTAGGGTTTTTAAAAGTAGGCGTAAGTATGCTTATTTTACAAGTTATAATATTTAATTCGCTGGCATTAAAATTTCTCCAGATTGTGGAGCAGTTGGCGTCCTTGCAATTATATTCATAAATTCAAAAAATATTTAGACGTATATTTGCTATCACCTTCTTATTTTTGCTAGATTTTCCCCTAAAGGGCTCTTTCGTAAACTGGTTTTCCAACCAACTGGCATTTCACTCCGCTGATTAAACCGTACCGAAATTCCAATCTTAATCTTGCAGTACTGCATCACATTTTCAAAATGAGAAAGCAAACTAATTCCATAACACAGAGTTAAATACAAAAAAAAATGCCAATCCTTTAACTAAAAATTTAAATTTCCGTGAAAACGCATGTAAGTTTACTGCTATTCTATTTTTCGATGTTTTTTATTTTTTTTTTCTTTGAAATAAAAAAAAAATCTAACGATGTGTAAATCAAGCTGTCAATGAATAGAGCAAAATATTATTCCAAAATTGATATTTGAATTTTCTAAAAAACATCAAATGCGTTGCAGTCTTTGGTAAATCAAGTCACCACAGTAATTGATTCATTTTCAGGTCTATTTCTGGACGTATTGTTGGAAGTGTGTGGTGGTTTTTCACACTCATCATCATATCTTCATATACAGCGAATTTAGCAGCTTTCTTGACAGTAGAAAGGATGGTAACGCCTATAAACTCAGCAGATGATCTTGCCAAGCAGACAGAGGTTGAATATGGGACTCTCATGTTTTCATCAACACAAGAATTTTTCAGGGTAAGGCAATATTTGCTTGATTGAGAAATTAGCTTTATTTATGTAAAAAAAGATATTTTTTAAGTTTTGCTGAAAGTATTAATTGCACCGGTGAAAGTGCTATTCACTTTTTCTGTCTTCTTTTGTATGAGGGTTTTTTTACAGATCATAAATATTCCGGAAGGCTGATTTAAAATATGCAATCGTTTTAACCTACAAGCTAGAGGTTTTATGTTCGCTTATAGTATATAGTACGAACCAGGAAATTTTAAAATTCACTTGAATCCCCACTGTTCTAGTACATTGGACTTTATGTTAGGAGGAGGGTGATAATACATTTCAGCTTATGATGCAATATGTTAAAGTCACANATATATATATATATATATATATATATATATATATATATATATATATATATATATATATATATATATATATATATATTCACAGGCTAATCTACTCCACTCTGACTTGTGAAAAAAAAATATTTTAAAATAATTGGCTAAGTTAAAATTAGTTTTCGTCTAGTAAACTTAACTTTAAATTATTTTTTCACCACAACATATAAAACTTACAAAACCTAACTTAAAATGCACTTTCGTTATATTCATCTTCTGGTGAGAGCTTAAGGGAAATGGTGAAAATTTTCCTTATTGTGAAAGTTTTACTTTTAAATTCGTTACCAATTTATACATTTTTGCTTGAGCAGCTGGCAACCCTATAGACCAACTATAAACCCATGTGTTCTTTATCCCTAAACCCATGTGTTCTATAAACCCATGTGTTCCATGCGTTCTTTTGTAAATTTGTCCATTCCGACAAAAAAATAAATGAAATTACACTGCCATTTTCAAAAGAAATGTGTCGCTTTCGAAACAAAACGGTTTTGAAATCACCACACTTGGATTAACCCCTTGGGGACGGGTGATTCAAAAAAGCAGTCGTACAAAATCAGAATCAAGTTGTAATTAAGTAAAAAACTGTAACTTAAATGTAGTCGTTGCTAATTTGACAGACTTACTTTGCTTTTACTTTAATTATTGTTAGTTTAATCATATATATAATCAATGTTAATTCAGACTATAACTAAATAGTTTTATTTTGAACAAAGTAATGGTGAATTAAAAAAATTAAACAATTATAACTCCGCCCACAAATAAACTGCTAAAGAAATACTTTGCTTACCAGTTTTATCTTTTTACCCTGATTGATGCAGTTTTATGCTGTCACGCATTTGTGTCAGTCGGCGCGAAAGGGTTAAGTAAGATTAAGTTCTTGTAGTTCTTGCAGCCAAAAGTTTAATTTTTAGTGTTATCATAAACTGGAGGACTAGTAAAGTTTTATGCCAACAGTGGCTTTCGAGCTAAATGTGATAATTTTGCATTTCAAAAGTTGCTGTACCTGGAAAGTTCGGAGAGCAATGCTTTGGAGCTGAGTTCAGGCCTGAAAGTGAGACGAAAAAGAGAAAACACTAGTAGTAGGACTATTTCAATTATAGATAATTCTCGGGATGTCTTTTCGTAACACTAAACAATTTATACTATTATTTTTTTCTTCGTGGGAAGAAGAAATTCAGTATATAAATTGCATCCGTCAAAAAATTGGTAGTTACGGATATTTTATTTTCCCAAAAAAAGCTAAAAATTAAATTTACTTTCTACCAGTTTTTGCTCTTTTCCGTCTGATATATACGGACTTTCGGCCCCAGTTGCTACAAACACCTTTTTAATACAATTGTCATAAAACATACAAGATCTCTTCCCCCAGCATTACGAGTGTATTGTCTTAGGAGATCTTAATTCAAAAACTAAAATTTGGAGCTGCACCAAAAATATCACCCCCGGCAAAAACCTCCTAAAACTAGTCAAAAAATATAACCTTACGGTATACGCGCCAGGGGAGCCGACTTATATGCCAATGAGCATTAGTAACACGCATGATATCCTAATAACAAACTCGAGCAATCCATTTACTATTAATGTTCTATACGAACAAATCAATGCCTCTGGGGGTACCGATCCAGGAGTTTCCTTGTCTTCTGGATTGGTTCAAAATTACAAGGCTACGGCGTTGAACATTTGTAGTCGTAAACCCAAAAATTGGGTCGACTGTTCAACGGCGGTCATAAAATAAAATAAAATAATGTTCTATACGAACTAAGCAGTGATCATCTCCCTATTTGCGCCACTGCTATGTTTAATTAACAGGATAAAATCAGAATTAAAACAAATACTGAATGGCTCTCATATGTAAACAGTCTCACAAAAAGATCTAACCATTCAAATGAACTTAGCACGGATATGGATATTGAGAACGACATCACAAATTTAACCAAGAACATTGATGACACCTATAATGGTGAGTCCTATAAAATGGAAATAAGAAATGATTATTATAAGCTCCTACATCATATTAAATATCTCATCAAATGCGAAAGGTTTTTCAAAGGACTACAGACCCTAACATCAAAACCCAAGTAACTAGTTATACTAAGCTTATCAAAAAAGAAATCACTGATTTTAAAAAGGAGACTTGGGACGATAAGGTCGAGAATCTTAGTACACAAGACAAAACTGCCAGGAATATGGTACAGGCTCTTAAAAGTTCCAAAACTACTACTAAGTCACTCCTAGGTCGTAAGGTTGAGACATACTCAGACATCGATAACAGCGAAATTTTCGCAGATACCATGGGAACCCAATTTTCCATTAATAGCGAACCCAGCACTATCACTACTGAGTAGAATATTATAGAAGTACCTATAGTGGTACCTATAGTGAGTATGGTTCGTTCACCCGTAGCTGGCACTTGGCTCCGCCTTCCTCATGTGGTATCTGATGATACTATTTCGCTATTTTGGGTAGAAGGATGTGAACAAGTATGCTATTTGGCGATCGCATGACAAAAATATTTATTTCGCAATCTTCATGTGCATATTTTGAACATGTGCATTTTATTTCATAAACTTGACTATATTTCACTCTTTTTATTGAATAGTTTGTTCTTTTTGAGATATTTTGCAGGGGAAAAGTTTTTAAATATAAATTAGCTAGAATAACGAAAGGTATAATAGCTGATGATAAAGTGAAGTAAGTGACTGAAAAAGAATTCCCTATATGTGTTTGGCCATCACCTTCTACATCGGAAAGCCTCCACACGGTTTCTTATAAGTAGTCTGCGCAGACTGTTTAAAAAGTGAACAGTTTGAGAACATGAAACCAAATTCTATTTAAAAAGTGACTGAGAGGAATTTGTCATATATATTTGACAATTGAATCTGTAGTGGTAGACAAGTAAATAAGACAAACTAATCATAATCAAAATTTTAAAAAATTTTTAGACATATATTTGCTACCACTTCCTTATTTTTACTAGATTTTCTATTAAAGGGCTCTTTCTTAAACTGGTTTGCCTTCATAGTGGTCTGATAGGACTACCTATAAAAAGCCGTGTGGAGGCTTTGCGCGCATTAGAGGTTATCTCGATTACAAGCGGGGGAATGTTTTTCCTCTTACTCCCCCACGCTAAAATGAACTCCACGTCCGAGGATGTGGAGTCAAGTGCCAACTCCTGGTGAACGAACTGTATATCAGCTCGCATACCCCAATTAATGATATTGAGCCTATTACCGCTGATGAGCTTTATAGGATCATCGATAAATTCCATAACAATAAAGCACCAGGGACGGACAAAATCAATAATGTTATGATTAAATACCTCCCCCCAAATATTATTGAGCAACTTAAAAATATCCTTAATTCACGCCTGAATAAATGCTACTTCCCTCATCAATGGAAACGTGCCCAGATTGTGCTATTCCCTAAGCAAGGCAAAAATCTTTTAAAAACCGGCAGCTATTGGCCCATCAGTCTGTTAAAGACCTTTTCAAAAATTTACGAAAGGACTATGCTTAATAGACTTAAACCCTACCTTACTTTCCTGCCGAATGAACAGTTTGATTTTCGTGATAGTCTTTCGACCACAGAACAACTGGTTCCTATAGTTGAGGAAGTATCTAAGAGCTTCCATAAAAATGAGACTACTGCTCTCCTGATGTTAGACGTGGCCAAAGTTTTGACCGCGTCTGGTATCAGGGCCGCATTTGCAAATTAATCAACTATAAAATTCCAAACAACCTGATATTACTAATTAATAGTTACTTAAGTAACAGAACCTTTCATATAAAAGTTAATGACTCCATATCCTCAGTCAGATCCATGCATGCTTGAGTCCCTCAGGGCTCAATACTGGGCTCAACCCTCTATCTCATTTACTCAGGTGACTTCCCGAATTTTAATGACAAGGATAATATTTGTACAGCGTATTATGCAGATGATACTGCGATACTCAGTAAATCACTTAACCCCAATTACGCTATTAATAACTTAAGACAAATCATCCCAAATATCTAGGAATGGTGTGCAAATTGAAAATCTCCTTTAACCCCTTGGGGACGGGTGATTCATGAAAGCATTCCTACAAAATCGGAATCAGTATGCAAATAAATAAGAAACGGTAGCTTAAATACGAGCGTTGCTAGTTTCACAGACTTACTTTGCCTTGAATTTAATTATTGTTAGATAAATCATATACATAATCAATATAAGTTCAAAGTATAACTAAATAATTTTATTTTGAAGTAAGTAGTGGTGAATTAAATAAATCAAACAATTGTAACCCCGCCCACAAATAAACTGCTAAAGAATTACTTTGATTACCAGTTTCATCTTTTTACCCTGGTTGATACTGTTTTATGCTGTCACGTATTTGTGACAGTCGGCGCGAAAGGGTTAATGCCAGCAAATCCTCTTTGCTTGTTATGAGAAAGTCTGAAAAGAAGAAAATTAAAAATAGTGATCTTCTTCTATTCAATTAATTGATTCCAGTGGTTAACAAAGCCACCTACTTAGGTGTAACCCTCACTCATTATATGAATTGGAATTCCCATATCTTGAGAATATTTACAAAAGCTAAAGGTGCTTTCTACTCCCTCAAACCAATTCTTAATCATAACTCAAAATTAGCCCTAAAAACAAAATGGACCTTATACCTGCAATGTATTAGACCAATAATTAGTTATGCTGCTCCTGCTTGGAGTGCCATAAAGGCCACTTAAAAACGTAAACTCGAGAGCATCCAAAATAAAATGATCAGAAGACTCACGGGCACTCCCCGTATACTTAGGATGAGTGATATCAGAAAATACTTAAACATTACTTCTATGGAAGAACATATGGTTATTTCATGTGTTTCCTTTTTCAAAGACGCAATAAGCTGCACAACTTGCAATTGCAATCAAATTTTTGACTTTGAGCTACTCAGCGATAACATAAACTACAGTCCGGCAACGGTGTTTTTTCTCTCTGACAGGCGTTCTGTCCAAACGTCTCACCAATTAATTATTAAATTTTTCACCACTTTTAAATCAAGGTACCTGTCTGTGCACCAATGAATCCCGCAAGGGGGGTGGCGAGGCAGGCAGGAGCTGAGGTTTTACTTCTCCGAATTTCTTTTTTTTATGTAAATAGTACTATATATATCCTTCTCTTTGCTTTATTATCTCACTGTGCATTTTTATTATATACCCCTCTGATTTGAGCATCGGCTACGCTTTATATAATACCACTTAGATTAATGAGTTAGGGTCCCTGACGGGGCCGAGACTTAGATAACCACCTCACATAGGCATAGATATAGGCTGCTACAATTATAACAGCCACCCCATAGACTGCTGAACTCAAACTGTTTTTTATTTTAACTTTTTGTAATATTTCATGATGCATGGGATATGGGCCTTCTGCGGGGCCCAGGTGCCCAGTTTTTGTAAATAAAGTGAATTAAGTAAAGACTGTTTCATTGACTTCGACAGTAGAATACCTCTCCACTGTCTCCCTATAGAGTTGTGTAAGATGGAAAAACTGCTAACAAAGCCATTCTAGACAAAACTATCATGGCTCGTATGGTAGTTAAAAAGTTTAAAAAAGTACGATAAAAGTTGTTGGGGAAAAAAAATTTTATTTCTTAATAAATGCATAATCACCACTACACTTTATACTTTTAAATAAATATATCTTGGGAAAAAATCGAGGTTTTGGAATTTTTAATTTTAATGCCAATGCTAATATAGAGGTGATTGTTTCTTTTTTTAAATTTTTTTTACAAATTTGCGTTTTTTTTTTAAATTTTTATAAAAATATAGGAACTCTGTATCAGCCTAGTGAGGACAAAAACTTTTAAAAAATGTAACAAAATAAGAATTCTAAAAAACAAACAAACCAGGAGACTAAAATCAATATACATCTCAGCACAAATGAAGTACGAAAATCAAATTTAAAGGAAAAGAAAATATTTGACATTCTCAAAATAATGATTAGTAAGGTTTTTATGGCAAAACTGTCTACACTAACTCCCAACCTTCCTTAATTATAGTCCATATGATAATCATAATCTAATCATAATCTAATTATGATAATCATAATCTAATCACTTTGCGATCATTGACCAAAATTTTTCCACTAAAGATTAAATGCACGACTGACTTCAATTCTTCGATTTTTCAGTCTTCAATTTTTCTTCAACTGACAATTACTTTACATTTTTTCTCTAAGATTTAAAAGTGAACGAAAAAAAACTGAAAACTTATAAACCACAATATCGTATTTAACACGTTCACGCCCGGGTGACCCACCGGTGGGTCACGCTAAATTGTCTCATCTTGTCAGCGCATCGGAGTAACAATAAATTTCCTTTTTTAATATTTTCCGGGAATAATAAAAATCCATAACTACCAACTGTTTTTAACAGATGCAATTTTGATATTGAATTGCTTCTTCGCCGTGATAAATTTCCTTACAGTGAATTGTTATTGTTGAGAAAAGATTAACTCCACCCGAATATTATCTAATATTGAAATAGTTCTTCTACCAGTATTCTCTCTTTTCCCGTACCAATATATTCACTTTTCCTGGCGTGAGCATAGAGTTGAAATACTATATCAACTTTATGGGCGTGAGAGGGTAAAAATAATTAAAAAAATTTATGGTTCATGAGCATTTTTTTTAAAACTTCTGCTTACATGAAACTTGGTTAGCTTTCAATTTCTACACATGCTTAAATATCTAACAGCTTATTTGTTACTCCTGTTGTATTTTTCTGTTGTACTTATTTTTATATTTAATAATAAATGATTTAAATATCTTGTTTCATTAATTTAAGTATTTAAAACCATAAAGTAACGAAGAATTTCAAAAACTACCATCGTCTGAATTCAAAAGAAGTATAAATATATCTATAATTTAGACACTGTTCTTAGAAAATCTAAAAGGTTACACTTTAAGATAAAAATAAACTATAACAAA